TTGTTTTATTTAAGATTAATTCCAATTTTTGCATTACCAAAATTGCTTCAAGATCACTTTAACTTTAACCACAAAGATGTTATTCTATAAAATGACATCATAAAATTAACTTTAATTATATCATAATAAAATTATGTTTATATTTTCCTTTTTCAGTAATCATTTATTATACCAAATAATTTGTTGTACTATACCGAATAATTTGTTATCCCTTAAACTGTATAGCAGGTAAATTTGCCTGCGAAATTAAAAAAAAGTGTTAATTTCTTTATAAAATGTTAAATATTAATTTTAATAATATTATTACTACAATTTAAGGGATAGTAATAATGAATTTTCTTATAACGAAGAGCTGATCAGCCCAGACACCAACTTCGTTATATTGAGGTGTGACTGTAGATGAATCCAATGAGCATTTATTGATTTCAGATTATCCAATCTTGAGTTAATCACAATTGTATTATCAGCCAAAATTATAAATCAATAAATTCTACTTTAAATAAAGAAGTTTAGATTTTGAAATTCAATCACAAATATCTCGAGATGAGCTGATCCAAAATCAATTAATGTTAACTCATTAGATTCATCTAGTCACGAAGAATCAAATGGTAGTTGTTTTATACAAATCAAAGTGATATTGATTGAAATCATACATCTTTTGTTTTTTCATGTGATATGATGTCATTTCGACCATTTCGACTTTTCATTTCGACTTTTACCTCCAAAGTCGAAATGTTTCGACTTTTGGGTTTTCATTTTGACTTCATGTATAGATAGAATACTTAAAAATAAAAAATTTTTTTCAATAAGATTATCAAAAAGTGATCGATAAGCTGCGCCACACACTGCCACGATAATTAAAACATAAAAAATATGATCGATAAAGATTTAGATTTTTTTTTTTTTGTCTCGAAAAATGAGGGTAAAAAATCCAAAACGCAATGGAAGTTCAGCATTAAAAAGGCTAAAAACCACTTTAAAGGATGTAGGATTAGTAGGACAAAAGTCACGTTCAAGTATTAGTAAAAAACAAAAACAAAAAGGAAACCCAGTAGATGCCAACAAGATTGAATATAAATCCAAGTTGAATAGTTTAATGAAAAATCAAGTTAATCCTTTCGAGTTGAAAATTAATAGGGTTAAACATGATGTATTAGGAAAGAAAATTAAAGGTGTCCAAGGTAGACCTGGGTTGAAAAGACAAATTGGAATTGAGAAGGTATGAATTTTATTGTATCTTTTTTTTATTTTTTTATTTTTTTTTGATGAAATTATATAAAAAAAATTTTTTTTTTTTTTATTTGAAATTATAAGAGAAAGAAAACGTTACTTATTGAAATGGAAAATAAAAATAAAGTTGGAGGTATTGTTGATCGTCGGTTTGGTGAAAATGATTTAAATATTTCACCCGAAGAAAAAATGTTGGAAAGATTCACTAAAGAACGACAGGTATTCTAATTCTTTAAATTTTTAATAATTCAATTAATTAATGCATTACAAAGAGATATTAATTTAATATTCGATAATAGAAACGATCGAAATCATCTTTATTTAATCTTGACGAAGAAGTAGATTTGACTCATTATGGCCAATCTTTGGCTGAAATGGATGATTTTGATGATCCAGATTTGATTCTAAGTGATGATGATGATAAAGGTATTAATTAATTTATTCAAAGTTAGTTTTGCAAACGCGTCTATGTATATGAAATGATAATACCTGATAACTTAATTAGGTGTTATTGATATGAAGACTGTAGCTAGCAGTCACTTTGGAGGATTCGAGGATAATTATAACGATGTAAATTATCTTCTACATTCCTGTAATAAATTGTTGAAGTGATGCATACTTTATTAACACAATACAATTTTAGGACATTGAACGCAAAAAGTCAAAAAATGAAATTATGAAAGAACTTATTGCGAAGAGTAAAATGCACAAGGTTTTATTTATTTCATCTATCGAATTAATGATATTCTATAGGCTAAAACTTTTTTTTTCTAAATAGTATGAGCGTCAATTTGAAAAAGATGAAGATGAAAAGGTTCGTCAAGAATTAGATATTGAATTGGATTCAATTCGTAATTTACTTATTATACCTCATAAACCTCATGATGAACCTTTAGAATCTCAAGAAACTGCTTTTCGGAAGGTATGTCATAAATTTAAGCATTCTTTTAAAAAATATGTTTATATACTCATTGTATGTATATATATATATTTAGCATTCTGAGATTGAACCTAAATCGCATGAAAAATACGAAGAGTACGATAGAATAGTTCGTGAATTAGCTTTTGAAAAACGCGCAAGACCTACAGATAGAACTAAAACTGAGGAAGAAATTGCTTTGGAAGAGAAAGAAAGTTTAGAAAAATTAGAGGTATTAAAATAGCTCAAAAAAGTTTTCATACCATTTTTTTTTTTTAGAAATTATTTTTAAAAATAATTCTTATTTAGCGTGCAAGAAAAAGACGTATGGAAGGTTTAAGCTCGGAATCTGAAGATGATGATAAACGCAAAAGACGAAGACGTGTTTCATTAGCTGATGATTTAGAGGATGATTATTTATTTGATGAGGGTAATGATGATTTTGGATTAGGAAAAGGAATTACTTTAAAAGATTTTGCCAATGTTGGAAGTATGCAGGATAGTGAATCAGATGTGACTGATATTCAAAGTGAAGATGATGAAGATGATGACGATGAAGTTGAAGAGGAGGGGGATGTATGTGCAGATCTTGATTTAAACAATGATAATCGAAGTCAACTCTCTGAAAACATCGATAAAGAAGATATTAACGATTTTTCATCTGGAAATATTCGAGTAGAATCTCAAGTTACTAAAAAGACGAAAGTGAGCAAAAAGGAAAAAAATAAAAATGAATTAGCATATACTTTTCCTTGTCCTTCAACTATGGAAGAATTTTTGAAAATTTTAGAGAATGCCGAAGATGAAGATATACCGGTAGTAGTACAACGTATTCGAGTTCTCTATCATATTAAACTTTCTTCTGATAATCAAGAAAAAATAGAGGTAAAAATACTTTTTAAAACGTAACACATACAATTTTACAATAATTTAATTTAACTTGATTTTATCTATATATATATTATATATTTTATTGACAGAAATTTTTTGATATCTTGATGGATTACATTTATACCAGAGTGCAAGAAACCCCGTGTCCAATGCATTTAATAAATCGATTATCGTTACAAATTTTCGATTTAGTGCAACAAATTACAGAATATTCTATAAAGTGTTTTATAGAAAAAATAAATCATTTAAAAAATGTTTTAATAAAAAACTTTAAATTTCCAAAAATCACTGAACTTATTTATTTTAAACTATTAGGAAAAATATTTCCTACATCAGATTTTCATCATAATATCATTACTCCAACTTTATTATTGATTGGGCAATATTTGGCTCAATGTCATGTTATTAATGGAAAAGATTTAGTATCTGGATTGTTTTTATGTAATTTATTATATGAGGTAAATGAACCTTTTAATGGTTATTTAAGGCATTGAAATAAGTTGACTGAAGATTCTTTGTTTTATTTAGTATCAATCTTTATCGCGACGTATTGTTCCTGAAGCGATTAATTTCTTATTTACGACACTTGTATATCTAACACCAAAAAACACATTCAAAGATACATCATTAATTCCTGGAACATTCCCATTCCCCAGTGATATCGATTCTACACCTTCCATACTTCAAATAAAGAATGGGAAAAAAATTGATGCTCAATTATTAAAATTTTCCGAAATATTAAACAGGAACGTTGATAATTTAGATAACGACAATTTTAGGTAAAAAAAAAAAAAAAAAAAAGGTAATAATTAAATTCTCAACTATGAACATGAATTCTAATTATTATTTTTTTGTTATTAGAATATCTGTATTATCAGCTACACTACACATTACAGAATTATACGCAACATTATACAATTCTAGTCCTGCTTTTATAGAATTATTTGATCCTGTATTGGAATTGCTATCTAATTATCCATTAGATAAATTTTCAGAAACAATTAAGGTAATATTTAATTTTGTGGAATTTTCTATTAAGAATATTTATTTAATTTAAAATTTTTTTTATTTTTTTTTTTTTTAGAATAAAATAAATGCTACCCAAGTAGTAATACGACGACTTCAAAACTTTTCTAAACAAAATAGAAAACCACTTGAATTACAACATCATAAACCAATTCCTATTCCCACGTACATTCCCAAATTCCAAGAAAAGTATAGTTTTATTTATTGTTTTCTCAACTTAATTTAACATTTATTTCTTCTATATAATGTATTTAACCAAATCTTTTGTAAACTCTTTATACAGCTTTTCTATCCATCATGATCCGGATAAAGAAAGTAGAAAGATAAATAAACTTAAGTCACAATATAAGAAAGAATATAAAGGAGCAATAAGAGAATTACGTAAAGACGGTCAATTTATCGCAAGACAACATATAAAAGTAGTTAAAGAAAAAGATGCTATTTATAAAAAGAAAATTAACTATATTATGGGAACACTTGAAAATGAACAGGGTGAAAAGAAGGCTTATGAAAAAGCTAAAAAATATGGTAAATTATAAATAAAATATCCCGTAAGAAAATATTTACTTAAGAGGAAATAACTTGTCTAGATAAAAGGGATAAAATATAAAGTATTTCACCACCTTTTAAAAGAAATTCCAATTTTTACAATCTTCACAATTTTCTTCTTTAAAGCATTCGGCAACTTCTTCTTTACCATTGGTAATAAACTGCCATTTATCAATAACTTTTTCAATAAAAGGTACTATTTCATGCTTAAATATATTCGATTTCCAACCTAATTTTGATTTTGTATCATATAAACATGTCAAACCAACATGACATTTAGTTTCCATCTTTAAATTAAAAATAATTATTTGCTTAGAATATGATCATATTCAAAATTAGATATTACTCCTCATAAACTTAAAAACATTACTTACAGCATAACCCCAATGATAACAAGCACTTGCTACACCATTACATACACCCATAAATATAGGATCGGCAGTATGACCAAAATGATAGATGTGAGAGTGGTGAGTTGTATTTAATCCTAACCTTTTTGCATATAATAATTCTCCCGGTGCTTGATATGCAAATGCCGGCAAGTTATAATTGATCGCTAATAATGACGCTAATGATCCACCTAATATGACAGGGAGAGAATATAGAATTTTGAGAAATATTTTGAATTAAAATTTATAGATTCTCACCTAAGGAATGTCCTGTTAAATAAATATTGGTATTGGCATTGGAATAATCCGCTTTAACTTTTTCAAATATTTTCTAAATTGTATATTCAACATCTATTAATTTATATTAAAAATATATATTGTATATAAAAAAATGAAATTAAATACCAAAGCAATATTATAATAAGAATCTTTAATCTTCGCTTCTTCACTTAAACAAGTATCTTCACAATTCCAACCACCTTTATAACATCCACATACACCTTTCCATGTTCTATCAACTTTTGCACAACAGCAAGAAAACATTAAATTATCCTAATATTTTTATTATGATATTTTAAAAAAGAGAATTGTTAATATTAAAATTAATCAAAAAGTTGAAATGAATTATTTTGTACTTACATTCAATTTATCATTTTGTTCAAGTGGTTTACCAGCATGTGGTAAATTAATATAAGCTAGATTCGTTCCTTTTATAGCAACAATAACAGTCTTATTATCTTTATCAGAAAAAACATAACCTCTAATACCATTTTCATCCCATCCAAATGGTAATTCCTAATTTTTTTTAAAAAAAATTTTAGTACCAAGTTAGTTAATTCTCTCGTTTAAATGAAATTACTTACATTCCAATTATCGTCTAAATCAATCCATTTATCTTTAAATGTTTCTAATTCAATGTAAGCATCATAAGACATTTTAGCCATAGACATTACAGTATTTTTATTTCTAGCAGGTATCTCCTTATCATTTAAACCATTTATAGACTCCCCATTTTCTTTTGAGTTATCGATAAATATACTATTGATTACGTGTTCATTAAAAATTGGAGAGGTTGTGTGAAGTTCATTTTCGATATCTTTAATAATTAACTTTTTAAAAAGTTGTTTTGTTGAAGGATTTACACCATGATGAAATATCTGCTTTAATCTAAGTATTTTTGTGTTCGTTTTGATTTGGGGTTGAGAGGAAGTATGTGTTTGGGAAATGTCGATAATTCGCTGATCGATATTATTATTATTTGATACAAGAGGAATTTGACGAGGAAATGCTGCAAAAGAACTGATGATATATTGTGAAAGTATTAGATAAAGTTTAAATAATGAAGTTCCACGCATTGTATAAGTGTGTAATGAAAGAAACAATATATAATCAAAGAAAGAAAACTTGGTATTTATCTGAATATTATTACCATAAAAGGTGATTAAATAGGGATGTTTATCTTTTAAGGAGATCGATTTTTTTAATAATTTAGTAAATAGCATTACAGAATAAAAAGAAGCGTCAAAACATGAAATTAACATAATCTAACAAATTTATTAATAGATCTCCGTCATGTTTGATATAAAGAATAACTAAAGTTCGAAATTCAAATGCGTTTACCGATTCTTTCGCTGATCAAGTAAAGAATGGGTAAAGAACTTTAATTATACCGTAAATGAGATTATATTCCTTTGGATGTAAAAAAATCATGTGAAGAATTGTTATTTTGAGAATTATTTCTTTTTGAAATATTCGTTTGGAAACATATTGCAAATTTAGGTATACCGATAGAAAAAAATTTCGCATAATAATCGAAGAATTACATCATTATGTTAAAGGATTGCAGGAAGAGACATGCATTACGCGTCATTTTATGCCCTCAAAGAGAATATATCTTGGTGGGATGCAGCACTGTGTAAAAGAAAAACTTGATTTCTTTTTTATCCATAATCATCATCATCAATGAACATGTTTCTAACTAACATTGGAAAAATTTGTTGAAAAATTGCTAATAATGGTTTCATTATTAAAAAAAAAAATATAATTACAATTTTTGTCAATGAATCCTGAAATAACAACCCATTTCTTCTTTTAGGCCTTTATAAAAATATCGCGGTTATTTTTTGTTCAATAATTCTCATAATCATGTGTGCGATCTGGGTTAGATAATTAACTTTAATTTTATATATAAACATGATCAGTCCAGAACATTTGTCGTTTTTAACGGTTTCGAAAACCGTTCAATAATATCTTTGACTTTCGAATTCTAAAATATAAATTAAAAAACTTTTATCGAAATTTATCGAAAATTCACCACACGCAGACTTTCGAATAATAAATAATAATAAAAAAAAAGATATTTCGAAATCGATATCTTTATCGAATATATAAAAAAAAAAATATTTTTTTTCGAAATAAAAAATATCTCTGACGAGGAAATACACCACGCAGTAATTTCTCGGTTTCCTAGTTTTCATGGTAAATTATTTATTTCTTATTTTTTGTTATGATTGCTAAACGGGTCTAATCTGATTCAATCGTTCTTATTAGAATTATGCTTTGCGTGATTATGATGATTAAAAATAAAACAAATTTTAAAATGTAAAAAAAAAAATTCATTTATAAAATAAATTTATTAAATTTTTACTGAAAAGAAAAAAATATATTTTCCTATCACTTTAAAAATTTTGTAAAGAAAAATTATATATTACGCCCATAAACTTCACTTTTCATCTAAATAACCAATAAAAATTGAACTGCGGATTATGCTATTATGTGATTTAGATTTGAAAAACAAAAATGTCAATCAAGTTTAACGAATGGGTTCAACAAAAAAAAAACTTCATATCAAGCCCCACTTCCATTATCACTCTTTTCTTCATTCTTGTACTGATAGAAAAAAATTAATCGAAGTATGTTTAAGAATTGCATTACGCGTCATTTTATGCCCTCAAAGAGAACTTATATTGGTGGGATGCAAGCACTGTGTAAAAGAAAAAGTTGATTTCTTTTTTTATCCATGTTTCTAACATAGGAAAATTTTGTTAAAAATATCACCGGTTATTTTTCTCATAATCACGTGTGCGATCTGGGATTTTAAAAAAATAAATAAAATTAAAATTTTGAATTTCTAGATTTTATAGTTTTTGAATTTCACTTTAAAAAAAAATGTCAGATCAAACAAAAACAAGTTTAACGAGTGGTCCAACAAAAAAAACTTCATATAAAGCCCCACTTCCATTATCACTCTCTCCTTCCTTATTGTCTCGTTTTATCTCTTTTCTCTTACCTACTACAACCAAAAGAATTAAAGGTAAGTTCGATGAAAAATCTCAAGCTGTTATAATATCTAACAGAGAAGACATGGAACAATTATGGAAAGAAGGATTTTTTGGTAAAGGTAGTTTAAGTCGAAGTGAGCCTACCTGGTTTTGGAGAAATAATAATGGGAAAAAAGGAAAGGGTAAACAAAAATTATCAGCGGAACAAGTAACGGAACAACGTAGAATTGCTAGGAAACGATACAAGAAAGCTAAACAAGCTCAGAATGTGGGAGAAGTTCAACAGGCAATAATTATCAAAGAAGATGTCAAAGTTATCAATATGGAATCAGAAAATACTCAAGAAACAACCATAGAAAAATTAACCCAAGAAGATGAGACTATTTTATCAGAGGACATAGAGAACTTGATTTTAACGACACAAGAAGCATTCTTTTTATCTTATGGTTTAGGAATAATCGATATATACGATTCACAAGATGTAAAGATGATAAAAATAAAAATTTTCCTCTTTCTATCTTTATTTCCGTCCTTTCATTAATCATTGATATTTAATTTGTATCTTAACAATAGAATTTATTGAGCTTAGAAGAATGTTGGAAATCATTTTATACTATATCAAATAAGAATCTAAATCATGATGATTATGACAATGTGTTTATCATAAGATACGTCGTATATCATTATTTTCGTAGTTTAGGATGGGTTGTTAGATGTGGTATGAAATTTGGTGTAGATTATGTATTATATGAAAAGGGGCCCGTGTTTAAACATTCCGAGTAAGTGATAAAATTCAATCACGAAGGAAAGTGACAAATTATGATAATATTACTATTAAATTTTATTCTTAGATATGCTGTGATAATATTACCAATTCATTCATCCCAAGATTCATCAAAATCCTTACATTCCAGCGATAATTTATTAATCGATTATCGAAGTAATTGTACGAAATCTTGGAGCTGGATGATGAATTTAAATAGAGTTTGCGTACAAGTAAAGAAGGTATAAAGTTAATAATTAATTAATCTTTTCCAAGTATTTTAGAAATTAACTTTTTTATATATAAATATATTTATATTTATATTTTAGTCATTAATATTATGCTATGTAACCATCCCACCATCATCCATGAATGATGCCACAATTACAGAATGTATAAAGAAATATAATATTCAACAAGTATTAATTAAAAGATGTATCCCATCAAAATTTAAATGAATCAATCCTTCTCTACTTCTTACCGTTCGTAAGCAATTCCTCCAAAGCCCCTTCATTCCAAATATCATAAAAAACATACAAGTCATAACTTTCTTTTAAATGTCTTAATTCTTCAAGTTCTTTGGAAGTTGGCCAGTAAAATTCACCATGTATTTTATCATAATCATAAATATTTTGAGCACATTGAACATCCATATGAGTTATTATATCAAAATATGATATGTCACGATTGCAAGATCTATGATCATTTAAAATTAAAAATGTGAGTATCGCTTGATCTTGTCTATGATTTTTTCTATTACTACCTTTTGGTGCTATACAATTTTTTACTAAAGCGCACTCGTACCATTTATCTATTAAATATTGCGTCTTGTTCGTATCAAATACTATCGCAGCTCCGTTACAATTATCATAAGGTCTACTCTTATAATCAGAAATACTTTGATTGTAATATTTAAACACTCCAGGATGTGTCCATTCCAATAATTTTCCACTTGATTTTGGACTTAGAAATCCGTTATGTTGTTCGAGTAAATTTTCCAATTTGATAAAAAATGTTGAAGCTATAAGGCTACCACTATCTAACCAAACTATTATCCCAGGATATTTCAACGAGATTTCTTTTATGATGCCAGCTTTCCACGCGTACTCTCCCCTATTGTAATCTATATTCCAAAATTTTGGATAATTTTTAAAATCAAATTCAATTAATTCATCAAAATATTCTCCTTTATTTTTTAATAAACTTAATATGTTCTTTTGATAATTCGCTATTCCTAAGTCATACACTATTATCCTTGGTTTTTGTTCTTCCGAAAGTTCTTTTAATGTATCTGACATATTATATAACCAACTTTGTAACGCGCAAAAATGATTTGCACTTGCCGCTGTTACTATTGTAAATGGAAATGTTCTATCTACTTTTTCATTTGTTAAGAATACTACAATCCAATAAAAGAGTGTCAAGTCAATTAAAATAAAGGTAAATAAATATATATATTATTATTTTGTAAACCTTTCATGCTTACCAGTTTCATAATTCGATAAAATATGATCACTAAATTTCATCAGTAAAAACAAGGATATGATGAAAAACAAAACTATTTTTATTATTTTTATTGTTTTAAGCCCTAGAATATTCATCTTTAATTATTTTTTTAAAAAATCAAAAAATACTTTTTTATTATAATATAGTAATTGTGAAAAAAAAAGTGGGTGGAGTTTTTTTTTTAAAACAAAAAAAAAGTCGTCATTTTATATTTCTTTTTCATTTTAAAAATCGTCGATTAATTTATATTAAATGCGTTTTTAGAAACAAATAAACCGTTTGATCATGCACAGATATGTAGATAATGCATCGGAAAAATATTGTATGCACAGTAGAATCAATGGAGAAAAAAGATTTAATAGTTATAGATACTTTGTTAAAGATATAATCCTGCGGAAATTTACTAATCTCTACAAATCGTAAATGGTTGATATATATGCAATAAGTTAATAATTTAAATATTAAATACATTGATTTGAAATCTCGAATCGTAGCAGGTGTAGAATTAACCCCTTTTAGTTTTAGTTTTTTAAGTGACCTGCAGTATAATTTTTTATAGTTTTGTTATTGATGTTACAGTACCAATTGGTGATCAAGATTGGAAGATTAACTCGAAGTCGCTAAAGAATTTGATGATCTTATAAGAACTTGATTTAATCCTTCATACATTCATTGATCATAAATATGAATAATATTTTTAAAGAAAATGATTTCAAAAAAAAAATCATCATATTATAAATAGTAAAAGTAATTATTAGCTTTATTCCAATTTGATTTATTTTAATAGTAGCACTATTGATATCCGAAACAAATAATATCTTATTTATTAATTAGTAATTATATTTAAATTCAATAATCAAGATCATGATAATATCCAAATCTTGCGATATACATTAATCCAGAATAATATGGGAAAAATCAATTTTACTTTTATATGCCAAATCTGATTTTTAGGCCGAAATGTTTAAATTTAGTATTAACTAAATTTTATTTTTCCGGCAGTTGCCCCCCCCCCCCCCCCCTTTCTTTGCAAAGGTCCCATATAAATAAAGTCAGTATGTAAAATTTCATGATAAAAGAATTATCTATCTATTTGTCTTATTAAACTCTTCAAAATATCATTTTTTTGTATATCCAACTGAATTTAATGGTATACAGCTTTGTTTAATCTTATAGGCTCCTTAGCTATGAGTTTATTTTAAAACATAATAGCAATTTATTTTCTATAAAAATTTGTTTAATAATTATTAATAAATCATTTACTTGATATTTTATAAGTTAAATAATTATTGTTATTTATATTATAATTAATAATATTAAAAATTAAATTTGTTTTAGGATTTTTATTTGTTACAAAAATCAGAATTAATCAATTAAATTTATTTTACTTAATATAGATAATGTCAAGTAACTAAAATATTATATTAGATTATTATTTTAAATTTTTCGAAATCAATTTTAATAATTTAATCTAAATTTTAATATATATAACTCTAAAATTTTAGTTTTAAATAATATTTAAAAAAATAATTAATTAATATATAAAAATAAAGTAAATTATAAAATTATAAAATTAAATATTATTTCTTAAAAGGCTTTGCTAAAAGCTAGTTATACTTTTTTATTAAAATTATTTTAAATTTATTGTTATAATAATTTTTATAATGATTTCTAAATAATACAAAAAAAATGTTAATAATTAATAATTTTTAAAAATAAATAAGTAATAAATTATAATAAATAATAATCTAATTATTTCAATCAATATTATATAATTGTATTATTTTGAATAAATCTTGAATAGGTATTAGATATAATTTTTATATGTTTAAAATCTTATTTAAAATATTTAAAATAAAAAATGTATTCAAAAGATATTATTGATTTAAATCATAATCTAATAATTTTAAAATAAAAAAATATTATTTAATATATATTAATAATTTAAAATATTTTAAATTAATATAATTTATAATTTATTGACACTAGAAATACAAATATAAAATTATTAAATATACATTAATTAAATAATCTAATAAGTAATTTTCTTTTTATATCAAAATATTTTATTTGATTATAATTTTTAATAAATAATTTTAAATTAACCATTAAAAAAATATAACTAATTCTTTTTTCACCTCTTCCACCCAATTTCTGGTTGCCTTTCAACACTCACCCTTTTGCTAATGGAAACTTTTGATCTATTATTTAAATGGAAAGAATAATGTAAAGTATATAAATATATCTTTATTATGTAATTTTTGTTCATAATTTGACTTACCAATATTTATTCCCTTTTTGCTATTGAAAGAATTTAGATTATTAGGTTATTCATTCAAGGGAATTTCATCTAAAATTTTCAAATGCATATAAAGTTATTCTATAATAACTAATACATAAAGGTTTGAGTTATACATTACTAGCATCCTTATTATTTCTATTAGATCTAGATTATTTGATAATAATCCTATCAATTTAAATATATATACGATAATGTAATAAAATAATCAGCTTGCCTAATTCTACTGCAATTGACATAGTCCATTGGGTTTCTGAAATAGTATATTGAAATATTGACGGTTAAAGTTGATGAAGAGGTATATTCTAAAGTTTGGCTATATGTGATGGCGAAAAATTATTTCATGCTCCAAAATGAAGTAATGATTAAGCACATATATATCCATCATATTCATCCTGACAAGGCCATTCCCAATAAAATAATTTTGAAATTCCTTTGATTGTTTTAATCTTTGATTTTTTTCTTTGACTATTTCTATGACCTTCAGAATCATCATTACGATTAGATTCAAGATTAGCCAATGTAGTTCCAGATAATCCTTTTGCTGCTTGGGCAATATCATTACTACTTGATAAATCAAATCCAATTCGTAAATATTGTTTGTGTTATCTAAATATGATGGTATAGTATAATCAAATATTATTATAAGCAATTAATTTCAATAAAATAAAATTAGATTAGTACTTACTGATGCGTGATGTGAATCTACTATTGTTTTTGCCTTTACAGTTTCAAAAAACAACCAATTCCGAACTTTAATATTATACCAACTATGCCAATAACTCACAATTACCATGAATTCAGAATTATGGTAATGTGGACCATTATCTGATATTACTTTGATCTATTTGGGTTTTTTATTTATTGTTTCAAATACTGCTTCAAATGCTGATGCTGTGAACCAAGCATCTTGTTTGTTATCCAATGACTAAGGATTATAAGCTTCAATATCTAATGTATTTGAATTTGTTTCTCATGTAAAAATTAAAATAGTGTATAAGGTCCATCCTCACTTTCCAAAAAAATCTTGCTTTGTTTCACATACTAATTGTGGTAATATTCGCATTTTATAATCAGCTATAATGATTGTACCACTTGAATCCAACTCAGCTAATATGGCATTAAACTGGAAAGTTAAAAATACTTTGCGTGTTTGATGTGAAAGATAGTACAACAGGTACTCTTTTGCTTCGGTAAGTTAAGATTGATAATTTTTAGAAATATTTTTAATCATGAAATCAAAAATTCAAAAAGTTGATTACACTTCTCACATTATGTTTTATGCTTATTATTACATTCTTCAAATGTATATGGTAAACAATAAGAAATACAAGGATCATAAATAACTTGGCCATCTGAATTTACCACTAATTCTTTTTCAAATCCTCGCTTCAATTGTCTTTTCAGTTTATCAAGTTGGTCAAGAACTATATTCTAAATTATCTTTGATAAGTAATTTATATATTATTGTATCTAAAAAGCAAATATAATTCAGTTTTAACTAATTATAATTGTTTTGTTCTTGAAATTAATATGTATTATATTAGCCAAATTCTCAACTATTTCAAATCCATAATCATTATATATTTGGGATAATCCTCCAAGATTATTACGGTATTTTAGATTAGTAGAATTTTTTAAACGCATCATAAAAGTTGATCATTTCATATCATTTAGATAAGTTTCAACAAACTTATTCTATAATTCACACTTTTGATCTTGAAGATATAGAACTGGCAATCCTGTTTTTGCATCTATATGGTAAAAACTAGAGCTCCGAATCAGGTCAGGTCAACCTGTGACCCGACCCGACCCGACCTAAAAAATCCAGGTCAGGTAGACAAATTTTCAGGTCAACATCAGGTCGGGTCAAGCTTATGACCCGACCTGATAAAATT